ATCTGCCGGCTGACCGCCGACTGGCTGAGATTCAGCACCTCGCCCGCGTGCGTGAAGCTGCCCGCCTCCGCGACCGCGTGGAAGATGCGCAGCTTGTCCCAATCCATCGAAACCGCATGCCCCCCAGTCAGACGACGCCGACGCCGAGCCCCCGACTCGGTCGGCGTGCCGCAATTATAGAAGTTTCAAGCGCTAAAAGCCCACCCCGCAGCCGTCACGGCGGCGGGGGCGCATTCGGGCGTATGCCGGCGCGCTACTCCGCCGCGGCGGCCTGGTCTTCCAGCGCGGCCAGGTACTTCTCCGCCTCCAGCGCGGCCATGCAGCCCATCCCGGCGGCGGTGACCGCCTGGCGATAGACCTTGTCCACGCAGTCGCCGGCGGCGAAGACACCCGGCACCGCGGTCTTGGGCGAGCCGGTCTCGGTGAGGATGTAGCCCTCCTCGTCCAGCGGCAGCTTGCCCTTGAGGAAGGTCGTGGCGGGGTCGTGGCCGATGGCGATGAACAGGCCGTGGCAGGCGAGATCCTGGGTGGCGCCGGTCTTGACGTTCTTCGCCCGCAGGCCGGTCACGCCCATCTCGTCGCCCAGCACCTCCTCGACCACATGGTCCCAGACCACCGAGACCTTGGGGTGGCGGAACAGCCGCTCCTGCATGATCTTCTCGGCGCGCAGCGCGTCGCGGCGATGGATCAGCGTCACCTTGCTGGCGATGTTGGCAAGGTAGAGCGCCTCCTCGACGGCGGTATTGCCGCCGCCGACCACGCAGACCTCCTTGTCGCGGTAGAAGAAGCCGTCGCAGGTGGCGCAGGCGGAGACGCCGCGCCCGTTGAAGGCCTGCTCGCTCTCCAGGCCGAGCCAGCGCGCGCTGGCTCCGGTGGCGACGACCAGGGCGTCGGCGGTCAGCGTGACGCCGCTGTCGCAGCGCACCACGAAGGGGCGGCGCTCCAGGTCGACCTCGGCCGCAAGGTCGTAGAGGATCTCCGCGCCGACATGCTCGGCCTGCTTCGACATCTGCTCCATCAGCCAAGGGCCCTGGATGACGTCGGCGAAGCCGGGATAGTTCTCCACGTCGGTGGTGATGGTCATCTGCCCGCCCGGCTGCAGCCCGGCCAGCACCAGCGGTTTCAGGTTGGCGCGCGCGGTGTAGATGGCCGCGGTCAGGCCGGCGGCGCCGGAGCCGATGATCAAAACCTGGACGTGGCGCGACTCGGCCATGACGACTCTCCCCTCTCGGACCTACGGCTAGAGTAGGCAGCGGGGCGACGGGCGACAAGCGGCGGCGGAGCGAGGGCTGGACGCCGACGGGGCGCCGGCGGCGCACACGGGAGGCCGGGCCGGGGCCCGGACGAGCGGCGGCGCGGCCGGCCGGACGGCCTCAGGCCGTCTTGGCGAAGGCCTTGACCAGCTTGACCACCTGGTCGCGCACCTCGCCCTCGGGGATCGCGTTGATGGCGCGGGCCAGCTCCAGCGTCTGGCGGCTGAGCGGCAGGCCGTCGTTGACCGGGGCCGGCTTGGCGCCGCTGCCCGGCAGCCCCTCGAAGAAGTAGCCGACCGGTACGCCCAGCACGTTGGCCACGTCCCACAGCCGGCTGCCGCCCATGCGGTTGGCGCCGCTCTCGTACTTCTGCACCTGCTGGAAGGTGATGCCCAGCTTCTCGGCCAGCGCCGACTGGCTCATGCCCAGGGCGATGCGCTTCTCGCGCAGGCGCCGACCGATGTGAACGTCGGTGGGGTGATACATCGTCGCAGGATCCTTCGTTGGTGACCGGGAAACTCTTGCTGCTCGCTCGTCCCGAAGGCCCAGCGGAGAGCGACCCGCATGGGTTGTTCGAGCGCTGCTGTCAACCCGACCTTCGAGTCCCCACAGTCAAGGCGCACCAGGGTATGTAGGGTTGCACAATCATGGTGTGTCAAAGTTGTGATGGCGAGAAAGGTCCGAACCAAGGCGCGGCGTGACTTGCGTAAAAAGCCCCAAAGCCGGCGAATATCTCGCTATGCGAGTAATTGCAAGCGCCTCGCAGTCACAAAATCGTATCCAACCGGGCCCGCACCTCTCTCGCGATACGAGATGTCTCGGCCAGGGGGCGATAGCTCCAGGTCCCGATCTCGCCGGTGAAGCGACGCGCGATGCCGGCCGCGCGCAGGTCGTCGTGAAAGCGGGTGAACTTCGCCGAGCCACCCGGCAGATCGAAGACGTGGACCGGCTTGCCGGTGGCCGCCGCCTCGCAGGCCATGTTGACCGAGTCGCAGGTCACCACCACGGCGTCCGCCAGGCCCAGGAAGGCGAAGTAGGGGTTGGCGCCGCTGCCGTCGTGGAAGCGGCCGGGCAGCTCGGCCAGCGCCGCGCGCAGCTCCTCCACGGCCTCCCGACCGGTGCGCCGCGACACGGTGACCAGCAGGCTGCCGCCGGTCGCCGCCTGGGCCTGGCGCAGCCGCGCGGCCAGCGTCCGCGCCTCCGCCGCGCCCAGCCGGAAGACCTTGTTGGTGCCGCCCACCGCCACGGCGATCAAGGGGCGCGGCAGAGCCGCCAGCTCCGGCGCCAGCTCGGCCGCGGCGGCGGCCAGGCGCGCCGGCGTC